CGCCGCCCGCGCGAGCGGACTGCGCCCGGCCCGGCATCCGTTGCGTTTCCAAGAGCCGAGCGTATTCGGGCTCGGCGTTCGCCAGTGGACCCCTCCCTCTGATCTGCGGCGTCCAGCAGGCGGCGGCGGCGATCTGTGTCTGACGGAGGCCTGCGTGAAGGTGGCCGGCCAGATGGCGGAGGCCATGGACCGCGGCGCCGACCCCTGCCGCGACTTCTACCAGTTCGCCTGCGGCGGCTGGATGCGCAAGAACCCGCTCCCGGACGGCCGCTCGCGCTGGTCCACCTTCAACAGCATCTGGGAGCAGAACCAGGTGCTCCTCAAGCACCTGCTGGGTGAGCGACAAAGCGCCGCTGCGGCCGTTCCGCGCTCGCGGGCCTCCGCCGCCGACTTGCCCGACGGACGGAAGCGCTGCGCTGCGCTCGGGGGCGGCCGTCGCGGCCATCCGCCACCGGGTCCCTACGATTGGCGGCAGATTTTGTCCGTTGATTGCTCGTCCGGTTGATTGGTCGATCGGGCGAGTCGCTTGGCTATTTTGCCCGCTTGCTGGCACGGTCGCATTTGTTTCGACGGCTTTGTTGATGAGACGCAAAGGCTTGGGCTTAGAAATGTCTTTTTATGGAGGGGGGGGACGACATTGCGGTCACTTTTGGTCTTGTTGGGCGTGTCTAAAAACAGCCGATTGCTCGGGTGGGTTTGGAACCTTTTGGGTTCAAGCGGGAAGGTCGAGGGAAAGCGAGTCCAGACGACGGAATTTGACTTGACGCAAGGCGAGCGGCGGTTTGACCTTTTCAGAGAACGCCACCTTCAACGGCAGCAGCGAGGCCGAGAAGAAGACTCAGGCCTACTACTTTTCCTGCCTCAACACGCAGAAGATCCAAGACTTGGGGGCCCGGCCGCTGGTGGACCTCATCGCCAGGGTAACTCTCCTCCTCCGCCGCCGGCGCCGCCGCCGATTCCCAGCGGACGCGGCGCCCTCAACGCCGGCCGTGCGCGCAGGCGGGGGGCTGGAACCTGACGGGAGCATGGGACAAGGACAACTTCATGGAGGTGCTGAAGTTGGTGTCGGGGCCCTACCGGGCGCAGCCCTTCTTCAGCGTGGCCGTCAGCACCGACCCCAAGAACTCCAACAGCAACGTCATCCAGGTGCGGCCGCCGCCGCGTGGGCCCCCCCCCGCCCCCCTCCCCGCTTCGTCTCCATCGACGGCAAGCGACGCCGCGTGGCCATTGGTCCCGTTTCGTTCCTCGCCCGCAGGTGGACCAATCGGGGCTCTTCCTGCCGTCTCGCGACTACTACCTCAACAAGACGGCCAATGACAAGGTGAGCGGCGCGCGCGTGAGAGAGCCCGCGTGCGCCTCCGAGCGTGTAGTGAGCGGCGGCCGTGGCCGGCGCAGGTTCTGCGGGCGTACTTGGACTACATGGTGGAGTTGGGCACCCTGCTGGGGGCCTCGCCGGCGGCGGCGGCCGAGCAGATGCGGCAGATCATGGACTTTGAGACGCGGCTGGCCGGCATCACCGTGCCGCAGGACCAGCGGCGGGACGAGGAGAAGATCTATCACAAGGTCACCGTCGCCGAGCTGCAGGTGAGGCCCCGCCCTCCCCGGCCCGCTCGCCTCTCTTGAGCGCGACCTTGACGTTTGCGTTGGTCCAAAACGTTTGCTGAAGGACAAATCTTTGTTCGGGGCGGCGACGTTTTGCCAGGGCCGCCGTACCGTGGCACGGAGGAACGGGTCACGGCTGACTTTGCGCTCCGGTCGGCGTTTCACGCGGAACGCGGCCGACCGCTTAGCGCGTCCGTCGACCGCTTGACGCGTCCGCCTCACGATGCGGAGGTCGCGGGTTCGATTCCGGGGCCCCGTCGTTCTGCCCGTGCCCGCGTGGGTTTTCTCCGGGTGCTCCGCTTTCCTCCCGCGTTGCCAAAACACGCAGGGCAGGTCAACGCTCCGAACGCCGACGGCCGGCGCGTTCTCCCGCGCTCGAGGCATCGAGGCGGGCGGCAGCCGGCCGAGAACTTTTGAGATGGGCGCTCGCCGCGCGCCGAGGCGGGGGCACGGCCGCGCCGGCCGTCACCGCGGCAACGGTTGCCGCGTGCGGTCGCTACATGACCGCATCGCCCTTCGAGGAGACGGCTTGCGTAACCTGCCGTGTGTGCGCGCGTGATGAGGAGGCGGGGGAGAATGAGCGTGAGGAAGAGGAAGGTGGAGGAGGAGGAGGAAGAGGATCAGGTTGGCCGCGATGAACTCGATGATGTTGAGAAGGACGTGGCCGGGCGAGGACCGCCATGTGGGCGTTCGCGCGGCCACAGCGCGACTCGCGTGGATTCTCAAAAGCGCGTGCGCGTGCTTGCGTGCAGACGCTGGCTCCGGCCGTGGACTGGCTGGACTTGCTGTCGTCGTGTTTGTCGCCGCTGGACCTCAACGACAGCGAACCCGTGGTGGTCTACGCGCGAGAATACCTGCAGCAAGTCTCCCAGCTCATCAACGGGACGGAGCGCAGGTGAGGCGCTCGCGCGCACGGGCCCGAGGGCTCGCTCGCCCCCAAAGTAGCCGAGCGGGGCATCTCGCCAACGGGGTCTTTGGGTCGCCGGCGACGATGAGCGCGAGAAAGCTTCGGTCCTCGGGAAATTGTCGACGCTCTCGATGGTCGAGCGTGTCGGAAATGGGCGCGCGCTCGAGTCGACGGCGGCTGTCCCTTTGCCAAAGCTCGCTGACCCCGCCCTGGCCCCGAGCGCCTTTTCACACGCACTCCGCGTGTGTGTGTGTGCGTAGTTTGTTGAACAACTACATGATGTGGAACTTGGTTCAGAAGAGCGTGTCCAGTCTGGATCAACGTTTTGAGAACGCTCAGGATAAGCTCCTGGAAAGCCTCTACGGCACCAAGAAGGTACGCCGCCGCCCCCGCCGCGCCGACTCGTGCCGCTTCCGTCGCCACGTCTTCAACCCACGGTCGCGTTAACGAGGCCGACGATCGACGGACGCTCGCCGGGCAGTTGTTTTGCGGGCGCTCCCTCTTCAAACGAGTCGCCGTTGAGCTTTTTTGTGGGTTTTGTGCGCCGCGCAGTCGTGCACGCCGCGCTGGCAGACGTGCATCGGGAACACGGACGACACGCTGGGCTTCGCGCTGGGCGCGCTCTTCGTCAAGGCCACCTTCGACAAGCGCAGCAAAGACACGGTGAGTCGGCCGGCCGAGGGCCGCCAACGCGAAAGTCACTCGTTCGCGGCCGGTTTGCGCCAACGGATTTCGGCCGCCGTTCTCGTCGGATTCGGAAACGGCGCCTTCGCTCATCGGCGACGTCCTCGTCCTCGGCACGTGATCGCCAGCAGGTCGCCGACCCGTCGAGCTCACGGTGGCTCGGAAGAGGCCTTCGTGCCGTTGCGCTGCGAAGTTTGTCCGTTTTCATGAAAAGCCGTTGCCGTGGCAACGCAAGCGCACCAAGCAAACAACGCGACCACAAAAACTCAAAGAAAGGCGTCGGGGCTGGAAACAGAGTCCCCCTTTTCTGGGGTTATTGGGTCTTTTTTTTTTTTTTTTTAAAAAGGCTCAACAGCGTCCCCGACACATTTT